ATCTTACATTTTCCTTGCTTTTATGATTATTCATATGGTAGATACTTCAACTATTATTTTTTCCATCAGGTATTTCCGGAATGAGTCTGAATGAAACCTTAGTCCCCTGTGGTACCACATGGGCATGCTTGAACTGGAAGCTGTAACACTCAGAAAGCAGGAAACTGTGTTTCAGGATTTGAGATGAGCCATTAGGGTCAGTGTGGAATAAAAGCTCACATCCTGTAGATATTTTTTAAGCAAGGGCAAAAGGTGGTGGGGAGGCGGGTGAAAAATACACTTTGCAGTCTAACTCAGGATTTTGTCAGGTTTGTTTTTTTCTGTACTTACAAGACTTCATTATTTTCCCAACGAGTGCTGTGTTGGGTTCTGGAGACAGTTTGAAGTTACATGTCGGTGACTATTGTTCCTGTCTCTATTTGTAACCCTGAATGATTTAAACTTTTGGTCACTAGATGGTGCTCTTTCCCTTTGAAATAAAATGGCATTAAATTTTTTTTTTTTTTAATTGAATTTATTGAGGTGGTGGTTAATAAAATTACATAGGTTTTAGATGTACAATTCTATAATACATCATCTGTGTGCTGTATTGGGTGTTCACCATCCCAAGTCAAGTGTCCTTCCATCTCCATATATTCCCCTTTTACCCTCTTCTACATCCCTCACCTCCCCTTCCTTTCCCTCTGGTAATCACCATACTGTTTGTTGTCTGTGTCTGTGAGGGTGTTTTTTCCCCCCTTTTGCTTAAGTTCTTCACTGTTTTCACCCAGGCCCTTCCGTTCTGATAGCTGCAGTCTGTTCTCTGTATCTATGTTTTTGTTTTATCTGTTAGTTTATTTTGTTTATTCGATTAATTCTAGATGAAAGGTAAGACTTCCTTCTTTTTATGGCTGAGTAATATTCCATTGTGTAAAGGTACTACAGCTTTTTTATCCACTCATCTACTGTAGGACACTTGGGCTGCTTCCAAATCTTGGCTTTTGTAAATTAACACTTCAGTAAGCATGGGAGTGCATATATTCTTTCCAATTCGTGTTTTGGGTTTCATCAGATAACTTCTGAGAAGTGGAATCATTGGGTCACAAGGCAGTTCTATTTTAAATTTTTTGAGGTAACTCAATACTGCTTTCCACTGTGGTTACACCAATCTGCATTTCCAGTAACAGTGAATGAGGGTTCCTTTTTCTCCACATCCTCACCAACACTTGTTTGTTGATTTATTGATAGCCATTCTGACAGGTGAGAGGTGATATCTCAATTTTGTGGTTTTTATTTGTATTTCTCTGATTATTAATGATGTTGAGCATCTTTTCATATGTCTGTTGGCCATCTGTATATCCTCTATGGAGAAGTGTCTATTCAGGCCCGTTGCCCATTTTTAATTGGATTGTTTATTTTCTTGGTGTTGAGTTATATGAGTTCTTTATAAATTTTGGATATTAATCTCGGATCAGATGTGTCATTGGCAAATATGTCCTCTCATTCAATGAGTTGTCTTTTCATTTTGTTGATGGTTTTCTTTACTGTGCAAAAACTTTTTAGTTTAATGAAGTCCCATTTTTAAAAAAATTTTCTTTTGTTTCCCTTACCTAAGGAAATAGATCACACAAAAATATTGCTAAGAGAGATATCTGAGATTTTACTGCCCATGTTTTCTTCCAGGGTTTTTATCGTTTCAGTTCTAACATTTAAGTTTTTAATTCATTTTGAGTTTATGCTTATGTATGGTATGAAAAGGTTGCCTAGTTTCATTTTTTTGCACATATCTGTCCTATTTTCCCAACAACACTTATTGAATATACCCTTTACCCCATTGTATGTTTTTGCCTCCTTTGTCAACTATTAATTGACCATAAAGGTGGGGCTTATGTTGGTGCTCTCTATCCTATCTAGTTATCTGTATGTCTGTTTTCATGCCAGTACCATGATGTTTTGAATTCTGTGGCCTTGTAGTATAGTTCGCTATCAGGTAGCCTGATTCCTCCAACTTTGTTCTTCTTTCTCAAGATGGCTTTGTCTATTTGGAGTCTTTTGTAATTCCATATAAATTTTTGGAATATTTGTTCTAATTCTGTGAAATATGCCCTTGGCATCTTCATAGGAATTGCTCCTTTGGTAGAACCTTTGCAGCTGAGATATCCCTTTGGAGTCTCAGCCATCGCCTGTGAGAGCAGGGTCAGCTCTTTTCATGGCTCTGTCCATCCTACCAGTATGATGTGGCTGCTTCTGTAGATCCTTGCTTATAGTACTTTCTGTGTAGCCAGCTTTCAGTTGGTTTTTCAGGTTGATTGCTCTATATTTTAGTTGTAATTCTAGTTCGGTCCTGGGTATAGGTGAGTGTAACTTCCATCTACTCCATTGCCATCTTGGACCTCTAAACTGTATTTTCTACTGAGGCTTTTCTGTTTTCTTTATTGTTCTGTGGATGCAGAGATGGTGGGAAATCAAATTCTTAAATTGAATCTGAGTTTCTTTTCCCTCTACAGAGGAGTTTTAATGTGATTATTCAGCCTATGAAGAAATGGGGCTTTCAAGTTATCATACCACATATATATATATGTGGTATGATAACTTGAAAGCCCTAGAAGAGACTTCAGTTACATATTTTTTATATGGCTTCATTTGCTGTGTCCTTTCTTGCTATAAAAATCACTTTGGAAACCAACACAATGCTGATGGCTGTGTCCTGGAGACCCGGGAACCTATATTTTAGCAAGGGCCACACGTCTGATGAGCAAGCATGTTTTGAGAAGATGCTGTTTCTTGCCCTGTAGTAGTGAGCACTTTCAATAGAGATCAGCATCACAGTCAGCCCAGATGATGTGAAGTTGATAGTTGAGACCAAAATTTTGAACGCAGACAGCTCTTCATGTAAATATTCCCTGGAAGAGTTATAACGGATATACTAAGATCTATCGAAGAAAATGCTTCGTTGGTTTACCTAAGTGTGTTAAAGCTGGTGGAGAGTCTTCACAGAGAAAACGCCTCCCGGTGCGTTCAGGATGGACACAAGGATGCCTTTCTGTGGAGGCTCTCCCAACGTGTGGTGCCTGGACGTTCATCCTGTCCGACTTCTAAGCCCCGGCCTTACAATACCTAACACTTCAACATTTTAGAGAGTTATAGCCAGTCTGAAGGTCTTTGATATTTACAATGTCCCTTTAACAGGACAAGTGTCAGAGGAGGGATTCAAGGAAGGATAAGGAGATGTGCCCAAGGCCAAGAGCAGCTGTCAGGAGTCTCAGTCTGGGGAGGTAGATGGTAGGGAGTGGAGTTGATGGCACTGACTTTAGCTGAAGCACAGCTGCTGGGATGCCTCCCCAGGAAGCTAGATGCATTCCTGAACACGGAAGCAATTGCTCTGTCCTGGTCCTAAGAGCGGGTAGCCTTAGAAAATAGTTTCTCCTCCTGTTCTTCTCCCTCGCTTGCTCTCCAATAGCTCAGCTGCACCTTGTAAATATGATGTCCTGATAATGCCATTGCTTTTCAAATGGACTGTGGGATGGGGATGGGTGACTCACAGTATGAGGGCAAAGTGTGTAATTTGATTAAAATTCCCACCTGGTGACTCCAACGTCTTATTTTAGAGCAGTGGTCGGCAAACTGCGGCTCTTGAGCCACATGTGGCTCTTTGGCCCCCTGAGTGTGGCTCTTTCACAAAATATCACGGCCTGGGTGAGTCTATTTTGAAGACATGGCATTGGAAGAAGTTTAAGTTTAAAAAATTTGGCTCTCAAAAGAAATGTCAATCGTTGTACTGTTGATATTTGGCTCTGTTGACTAATGATTTTGCTGACCACTGTTCTAAAGAATTGATGGCTCAAAAGGTGTCAGGCAGAATTGCTTGTTAGTTGTGAAGGATGCTCCGCCAACATTTTCTGATGCTGCCCCAGCCTGAGGTGAAGTACAGTGTATGAAGGACTTGGCAGTCAATAAGATTGGCATCATTAATGATTGTGATGATGATGGTAAATCATCTGTTATTCAGCTTTGTCCCTAAGCTAGTGGTGTAGACTTTGGCTTATCCCAGAATGGTCTTGGTCTCTGTCAGACTAACCTGTGAGGTAAGTAATCGCCTAGGTTGCTGGGTAAACTTGAGAACTTGATGAAAGGGAGAACTGCAGAGGCATGTCCTGTCCTGGGCTTTGTACTGAGTCCCGCTCCACCGGAAGATCCCAGGGTGCCTTTATTCAGACCTCTCTTTCTCAGAGGCTGATGCCCTCCCCCACTGCCCGCCCTGCCCTGTCCCACAGCTGTACTCCTGATCCTCTTGTCTTCCCCCCTCATAACAGTTATATTCTAATATGCTAGACAATTTATTCATTTGATTCATTTTTGTCTCCTTGCACAAGACTATAAACTTCATGTGGACAGAGGTTGTTTTTCTTCCTTGATAAACCCCCACCCCTAAAATAATGCCCTCGTTAGTACAGAACAGAGGTTCCGAAAGTATATGCCGAATGAATGAATGTTTTCCAATATAACATTCCATGGCAGTAGTAAACAATAGGTGTAACATATATTAGTCACTACCTATCCTGAATAAATATTAAATATTAAATATTCCTGGTTGGAAATTAAATCCTCCCTCCCCCATTTAACAGTAGTTTCCTCTGTAAACAACCTCACAAAGCTGTGATGTAGATGAAATGAGTTAATAATGCACGTAAAATGTTAGAACGGCCTGGAAGATAGCAAGGGGTCAGTTAATAAATGGAATTTGTAGGCTCTTTTATTTAAAATATAATTATATGGTATACTTAATTTCAATTAAGTCTAAAGTTAAGTGGTTAACCAGTTTTAAGGAGGAAATAAACCATAGATGAATGCACAATTTGGGTTTTTTTTTTTTTTACATTCTTGTCTTTATTACAGTGATAACATACTTTGATGGACAAATATTGAATTTATTATGGAATCTCTTATAATGTAACATAAATTTTAAAACAGTTTGGGAGTTTCACACGAACCTTTTGTTTTTGTTTCTTTGTTCCTTATAGATCCCCATATTAAGGTGTCTGGAAAGAAAGAAGATGTTAAGGAAGCCAAGGAAATGATCATGTCTGTCTTAGACACAAAAGTAAGTGAATGTTAAGGACACTCAGATGTCAGAACCTTGTCTCTGCAAGGGCTGCTTCATGCTGTTATGAAAGAACCATTTGGGGAAGAAAAACCAGGAGAAAGTAATGGTGGGTTTTAAAATAAGCACGTGTGATTCCACAGGGGATGTAAAGTTCTGTTTAAAATCTGAATCGAGCCTCTCCTGCTGGATGAGTAATGAAATATAATTATAAGGGCAAATATGTATATGTATATGTATATGTATATGTATATGTATATGTATATGTATATATATGTATGTAGTATATATGCCATCTTCAGAAATAGGATTTTTATAGGACAAATAATGAAGGTTGAAAGAATTAGAATGTTTGCCTTTATGATGCCAGTAGAAAACCAAAATAATCTTCTGTATAGCTCTGTGTGTGATGGCATAAAATTGACATTTTGTCTTGTCCATTCTTTATCTGAAAGTATATGTGTGCAGATAATAGGGAAATTTAAGCATTTAAAAATGTACACTCATGTGTGAGTATTTTAATTTTAATAAACACTTTAAGTCACTTACCTTGATAAGCACTTTAAAAATATTAATTTTTTAATTCTCATAACTTAGTAAAGCGCTATTAGGGAATTTAACCAGGATCCAATAGCTGATAAGCGAGGAAGGAGATGGGATTTAAACCCAGCCTCTCTGGTTCTTAACCATTCCCTATTTTACCACCTGTTGTTTTATTGAAATGGTTTCTGGTCTCTTTTCTTTCTTCTCTTATTCATTTTGTTGTTATTTTAAAGAATTTTTACCTTATAATTATTAACTATTTCAGAATTTTCACCAAAGAAGAATATCTTCCTATATTTCAAAGGTTAAATCAAAAGAACTAACCAAAGTATTGAATGGATATGTTTAAAGTTAAGAATCAAGAAGATGTAAAATTGTTAAAATTTTTAACATCTAGTTGTCTTTTGATTTTTTAAATTTTGCTTCCTAAGGACTGAAGAATTTCAGGGAAATTCTTGTAAATGAGAAAAGATTTCATGTCAGTCTTTTTAATTTTATAACACTAAATTTCCCAAAATTCAATACATGAATACCAACCAGACCATAATTATTACATCTTAGAATTTTACATTTTGCTTTAGTATAACTAATCTCATACTTTGTGTTTTTACTTAAGCCATTTTTCTATTAGAGATCATTTTTTTCCGGCTATGTGGTCTCTTTCCCACAGAGAATAATAAGTCTACTTTGTAAAATTTGACACAGTAATATAGAGGTCATGAGAATGCTTGTAAATAATTCTTTACTTAGTTTGAATCACTTTTATTTTTAATCTCTAGTTTCCTATTGCCTTAGTTCTACAGTCCTAACGTATACATATGTGTACTTAAGTATAGTCCTGTTAATATATATGTGTATATATAGTCATTGTTGTAATTGTGTTTTCAACTGGTTTTAGTTTTTTGAGTTAAATGTTCCATGAATAATATCTATTCAAGAAAAAAGTGAGTTATTTGTAATTGTAGCTAATTTTATTTAAAGACTGATTTCCGAAAGATTTTCTTGGTAAAGAGCATATTTTTTTATTTCTTCTGACAAATTTGTCTTAAAATAAGAATTTCTTTTTTATAGCCCAAGAGAAATGGATAGAAAGTAAACCTTTACAGATTAAGATGATTTTGTTAATAAATCTCTATGCTCTGCCATGGCTCACTTTTTGTTAAAATTATTCTCGTGAGAGGAGGGATGTTTTAGGGAGTTGTCCCTTTTTCATGCATCAAGAAATAACACGTCATTTCCACACAGAGCAATCGGGTCACCTTGAAGATGGATGTTTCGCATACAGAACATTCTCATGTAATCGGCAAAGGTGGCAACAACATTAAAAAGGTGATGGAAGAAACAGGATGCCACATCCACTTCCCAGACTCCAACAGGAATAACCAAGCGGAAAAAAGCAACCAGGTGCTTTGTCTTTCTCATGAATTTTTATGTAACGCATTTTACAGCCTCCGTTTTCCATATGCGTATCTTTTCTGGGAGATGAGAGCAAAAAAGCAATCGTGGAGGTGGCATGCAGTGTAGATTGTTTGACCCTGTACAAGGAAAAGGCTTTGCCTTTTTGGAAGGGATGAGTTATAGGCAGGCCTTAAACTCTTACTCTCAGAATGGTTGGTAGAAGAGATAGGGGAAGGAGTGATGGCAACACACAATAAAGTCCCCAAGGAAGGGCTCAGAGAGCATGTGAATTAGGAGAGGACCTAAGTCATGCCTCACCCAGGCACCCATCCATGCTGGCATTCTGTCTGCAGCATCCCTCCCATGGTCCTCTAGGCTACATACATAATTATGCCTTTTTCTTTAAAAAAAATTTTTTTTAAATTACAGTTGACATTCACTATTATATTAGTTTCAGAAGTCCAAGCCCGTGATTAGACATTTATATAACTTACAAAGTGATCACCCTAATAAATCTAGTACCCATCTGACATCACACACAGTTATTACAACACTAGTAGCCCTGTGCACGAATCCGTGTGCCAGGAGCTCTCTGGGGCCTGGTTGCTCTGTGCCTGCAGCCCAGAGGCCCTCCTCGGCCCAAGTGGATCACTTGCCTCGTCACCACGGAAACGGAGCAAACATTTCACCAGGCTGCTCATGCTGCCTTCTATCGGAGGCCCCCCTAAACCCCCACCTCCAGGACTGGAGGACTCTAGTGGTGCTGAGAGGACTAGGTACTACCATCTTGTGGCTATGGCATCATCATCTTTGTGATGGAGTAATGGTTAATTTGCATATGACCCTTTTATTAGATAGGATTAGTGACTATATTCCCCATGCTGTACTTCACATCCCATGACTAGTCTGTCAATTACCAGTTTGTACTTCTAGATCAACGTCTCTCTAGTTCATACACATATTTCCTAGTTACTGTGTTGGGAAACAAATGGGACTCACCTATCCACATGGAAGCCTTTTAAGTACTTGAAGGACAGATACTATTATTCGTGTGATGTAGAAGTTTTCTCTCTTCTCTGCTAATCACAACCCTAGGGGCTGTGTTGGCCACAAAGATGAATCATGGAGACGAATGTGACAATGAGCCACATCCATAAGGAACTGGGTCGAAAGCCATGATAAAAAGCAAGGGCGGTTTTCAAAACATTTGAAGCTGGTATGGCCTAAGTGTGCATCCTGAGAGCAGTGTCCTGGGTCCGCCACCCTGACCCTAATAATAAGATTAATTCTTTAGTGGGTGGATCCTGGGAAGATAATTCTAGAGGATCCCCGGAGATGGCTGGAGGTGGGTGTTAGAGCAACCATTTTTATTTTTTATTATTTTTACCAACTTGCACAGAAGTAGTTCAGCATCTTGAGAACCTAGAGCAGCTGCCTCAGCATCCCTGCGTGTTGATACGCCTCTAGTCTGCAGGGAGTTTAAAGAGACAGGAGGGAGAACATGCAGGGAACCAGAGGAATTATGAGGGAGGCAGGAAGGCCTCGTGGGGGCTGTGAGATGTCCGATAAGAGCAGAGGGTGATAGAGATCGGTTGACAGGTATTACCTGAGCAGATCATGAAAATGCAAATTGTGATTAAGCCGGTGTGGGTTGGTGCCTGAGTTCCCTCATTTTTAACAAACTCCCAGATAACGCCAATGCGGGTGTTTCCTGGAGGACACTTTGAGTAGCAAGGGTGTTGGTAACTGGAAGAGCAGGCGTGGGTGCCATTACATTAAACCTGACTCTGTCTATTCTTATCTTTGCAGGTTTCTATAGCAGGACAACCGGCAGGAGTCGAGTCTGCCCGAGTTAGAATTCGGGTAACTGCTACTTTCCTACTATAAATCACTGTCAGCAATGTTTTCATTAGAGAGGGTTAAAACTACCATCATGTATCCATTTATGATGAAGTCATGCGCTCAGTCTGAGGGACATAGTGAAAACGTTGACTTAATGTATTATAGAAGGTTTCTTTGAAGCATTCTGGATTTCACCTGACTCAGTTTCTCTGATGACTTTGAAATCAGAGTCCCCAGGAAAATGCCACAGACAGTTAACAAAAACATTCGAGTTTCCTAAAAGGCTCCTGCCATTTAAGAAACTTTATATGACCTACCCAAGTTTACATCTATAATAAAAGACTAGGTGTCTAAAATTCCATCTTCAGAAGAGGATGAATGAATTCGACATATTTCTCAATGCGTCCGGTAATTTATCTGCTTTGGGTTCTCACAATTTCATTGCAGGAGCTGCTTCCTTTGGTGCTGATGTTTGAGCTGCCGATTGCTGGAATTCTTCAGCCAGTCCCTGATCCTAATTCCCCCTCCATCCAGCACATATCACAAACATACAACATTTCAGTGTCCTTCAAACAGCGCTCCCGAATGTATGGTGCTACTGTCATAGTCCGAGGGTCTCAGAATAACACCAGCGCTGTGAAGGTAAGTGACTGAGAGAATTCCGAACATCATGACTGAACAAACTATTCAAGTTTTATTTATTTATTTGCTTAATATATTTGTATTGACTTCAGAGGGGAAGGGAGAGAGAGAGAGAGAAAGAGGAAAACATCAAGAATGAGAAAGAATCATTCATCGGCTGCCTCCCACACGCCCCACTCTGGGAATTGAGCCCACAACCTCGGCATGTGCCCTCACCGGGTATCCAACTGTGACCTCCTGGTTCTTAATTCTACACCCATCCACTGAGCCATGGCGGCCGGGCTCAAGTTTTATTTTTTAAAGGATTTAAGACTGGTTTGTTCTCTAGAATTTTCCTTTGTGTTACATTCTGGTCTATGTGATGTGTTGTATTTTCCCATAGATGTTAGAAGTGCCTAGAGCCCTGGCCAGTGTGACTCAGTTGATTGGGTGTCGTCCCAGGCACTGAAAGGTGCCAGTTTGATTCCTGGTCAGGCCACATGCCTGAATTTTGAGCTTGATCCCCATAAGGGTACATGCAGGAGGTTTCACTCTCATATCGATCTCCCTTCCTCTCTCTGAAAAAAAAAATTTTTTTAAAGAAAGAAGTGCACTAGACTCTCCCTGTATGTGGACAGTTATTTACACGGCTGTTTCTGTCCCACCCTTTTCTCCTAGGAAGGAACTGCCATGCTGTTGGAGCATCTTGCCGGGAGCTTGGCATCTGCTATTCCCGTGAGCACACAGCTGGACATTGCAGCTCAGCATCATCTCTTCATGATGGGTCGAAACGGAAGCAACATCAAACATATCATGCAGAGAACGGGTGCTCAGATCCACTTTCCCGACCCCAGTAATCCACAAAAGAAATCCACCGTCTACCTCCAGGGCACCATTGAGTCTGTCTGTCTTGCAAGGCAATATCTCATGGTAGGTTTAGTGAAATCCATGCTACCTTTTTTTTTTTTTTTTTAACTCTTTGAGTACAGTATATATTGTTGATACACCTTACGTGGTATTTATGAAAGCACTTTGGAAGCCAGGTCAAGGAAGGAAGCTTCTTGGTAAAAGGAAATAAGAGAGAAGATAGATAGTGCCTCCTAGGCTGAGTTTCATTACATTAGTGAGAGATTTTGTTGCAGGACTTCTCATTTTTAAAACTTAGGCTAAACACAGAAGAAGTTCAAATGAAATAACTGTATTTTGTTGAGGGTGATTATTTCCATACTACAGATAGTTTGCAGTCTTCATTTGACAAAGAAAGTCTTCCATTTAAACAGAAGAACAAAAAGACATAGATTTTGGCAGCATGAAACATTTGAACATTTCATAATCTCTGATATAATTTTAAAATTCTGTGTGAGCCATAAATTTGTGTCATGCATTGAAGAAAAATAGCAGTTATATAACTCAGTATTGCTTCTAATTATAATTTGCAATATTTCTGCCCTCCTGTATTCATTTAAAAACCCAGTGTGTAGATTGATGTATAGTTACTAAATGGACTGACAAAATGTGGACTCAGATATTTTTATTAAAAACACCGCTGTATTCTTCTGTTAGAACTTGACCTTCAGTGACATTTGAGTCAGTAGCTTCAGGTATGGCCTTTGCTGTCATTAACTTGCAGACTTTATTTATAAAAAACTTTTAGAAAATCTCATTTTGTCTGGTTGACTTTATTTCTCTGACAGATGAGAACTCATAATCATTAAGGATTATAATACATAATTTTATGAACTTTTATTTTGTTGTGAATGATATTTTTAGCCCAATTTGGTTTATCGTGCTATTTTTGGTACACTACTAATTACATAGCATATTCATATACAAAGATTATTATGCTTATTCACATTTTATTTTTGTCTGCTTTTCAAATTCCTTAGGTATCACTTTGAGTTCAGTAAACTATTTCAAACATTCTGCACAGTTATGAACTTATATTCATACTTTGGCCATACCTGCCAAAAATACAGGCATGCAATGAGACATATTATTGTACAATATTAAAAGAAGGGAGGGAGGGAGAAATACATTAAAAGGATTTAACCTGTATTTTAAATACCATAACCTTTTCTTTTAGCCCTGTCCTTACAAAAATCACTTCTACTATCAAGATAAATCAAACAGTAATTTCACATTAATTCTAGTATGTTTCCTGTTACCTTCTCCTGATACTTATGTACAAAACAGGTCACTCATTAGGCTAGCCCTGAGTATCAGAAAATGTGGTTGAGATTCTTCCTGTGCTAGGTACCAGGGGCCAGGAAGAGAACATCAGAGAGAAGAACAAGTACCCACCCTGCAGTGCTAAAAGGGAGGTAGTTCAAAGAAGGGACAATAGCGGCTGTGAACTTGAGGGAGGAGGAAAGGTTTGAGCTGCATCAGAGGAAGAGTGGGCTTTGGGATGGTGAAGAAGCCTCCTGGTGAGCTGAGACTCTAGCGTGCAGTTGAAAAGCTGGTCTGGTGCAGCCTGGAGGAAGGGGCAGGCGTGCACACACATACCTGCAATGGCACAAACACAGCCCGGCTGCAGTTGGAGATCTTAAATGTTTAGACTTCACTCAGGAGACTGTGAAGAGCCAGCACTGAGTCTGTGAGCATGGGCACAAGGCAAATACCCTCGATAGGGTGGAGAGTTCCAGTTTCTGGCATCGCTGACGCACTGAATCCAGAGACTAGAGGAATTTTCCCAGGTGGCGAATGAATGAACTTTCAGGGCCAAAAACAGACACTTAAGACACATACAATTTTTTTCCAGAAAATAGTTTCTGCCGTTCAACATTGTTTTCCCACAGTCCTCCAAGCTATGTGAAGGTATCTGATTTAGCTTTAATACTTTGGTTTACTCTTTATCTTTTTTATAGGTTTCAGGTGTACAGTTGTATAATACATCATCGGTGTACTGTATTGGGAGTTCATCACCCCAAATCAAGTCTCCGTCCATCACCATTTGCCCCCTTTTACCCTCTTCTACCCGCCACCATCCCCATGTCCCTCTGGTAACCACCAGAGAGTTGTCTGTGTCTGAGAGGGTCTTTATTGTTGTTTTTTTCTTGATCTCTTCACCCTTTTCTCCCATTTTACTTGTTAGATCTGTAAAATACTGCATTATTTGTAGGCATGTTAAGTTATCAGATGTTTAAATGAGCAACTACACTTTCTATTGTGGCTTCTCCTAGGGTTGTCTTCCTCTTGTGTTGATGTTTGATATGAAGGAAGAAATTGAAGTTGACCCACAGTTTATTGCTCAGTTGATGGAACAGCTGGATGTCTTCGTTAGTATTAAACCAAAGCCGAAGCAGCCCAGCAAGGTTGGTTCAGAGTCTGGATCCGGATCTGGAGAACCATGTGTCATTATCATGTTCTGTTTTATTTGCATATAAGGGTGCATTTGCATATTCATAGTACTAAATATTCTATATGTCATTATATATTACATTTAGATATTTTATAGATTTGTCACAACGTTCATTATTGATCACCATTTTCTTTATATGTGTGTTGGTTTTTGGAGTCCATTTTTAGTGACCATTATTTTTCTGTAAATATATGAGAAGGAAAGAGAAAACCTTTTTAAATTAACTTGCAAGCTGGTAACTTTAAATATTACTAAGCTACCAGATAGTTGATATAGCTAAGTACTATGTTAACTAGAGGCCGGATGCATGATTTGTGCAAGAATGGGCCTTCCTTCCCCTGGCTTCCAGCAACGCCTTCACTCTAGCTGGAACCACCTTTTTGCTTCAGCCCAGAGCTGCCTTTCCGCCTTCCCACGCTGCCCAGAGACCCAGAGCTACTGGAGTGGTACAGAATGTCCCCAGCTGCTCGGTGCCTGCATATGCAAATTAACCCATCATCTTTGTTGGATTGTTTTGCATACTCACTCCTGATTGGCTGATGGGTATCACAAAAGTACAGTCAATTAGCATGCTACTCTTTTATTAGGTAGATTGCACATTACAAAATACAATTACAAAAAAATATTAAGCTTACTTGCTATTTGTGAGTCACTGTGCTAGCCCTGGAGATTTAAAGAATAGGTACCCCATTCTCTGTAATAAATATTTTTAGGAATGAATTATATCCAGTTCAGCCTTTGTGGAACTGTTCCCTTAAGATGTTGCACAATTTCAATAATTACATGTACAGTTACAAGTTAATGGGATAACTCCGATGATATTGAATGCTAGCAGAAAGTCAGGAAACAGGAATGTTTCTCTATTCACACAGTGCGGACCTGGGATGCTGCCTCCATGTATCTCCCCCGACTTCCGCTCACTTCCTGGAATTCTCGTGTCTATCCATCGTATGTGCACAAGTCCTTTCTTTTCTCTCTCTCTCTCTCTCTCTCTCTCTCTCTCTCTCTCTCTCTCTCTCTCTCTCTCTCTCTCGGTCCTGGCATTACCCAGGGGCCAGAGAAGTTTCTAAATTGAGTGAGTACAAAAAACCTTATACATAAATGTTAAAGGCATGCTTTACTACACGTTCTTACGAGCTAATATCTTTTTAAAGTATGATACTTTGTAAAACACTGTGTAATATGAAGCAAGAAACCTTGTGGTCCATCTGCAATGTGTTAATATTGTGCAAATAGGCACAGTCACTTGGAAGAGCAACGTGAGACCAGCAGATCACACTAAAAGCACTGAGACCCTGCCCCCTATAGCTAGAAGCCACTCTGCTTCTAGCTATGCACTCTGAAGAACCTTCGTACCAGAAATTGAAGGATAGGAATGGTGTTGAACAAAGAACAGCAAGTTGCATAATGACATGTCCTCAACGGTAACATTTAATGTATATCTTTTATAGCCGGTAAAACACCAATCATGTCTCCAATTTTTAAATTTCTAGACTAAAAGTCTTACCAAATGCTCATAATGGTATATGTATAATATACATTAGATACAATTCTGTGCATATGTCAGTGATGTGGTATTCAGTGTCCAGTTCTCTTTCTTCAAAAGAAGACTGTGAATGGAAGGATAGCATTGATTCTGGTGAACTTGCTATTTCTTGCGTTTAATGTGCGAGAGCAGGACCCTAATTTTATGTATTGTGATGCTTCCTGCATGCCTGGCTAATTGAGCCGCGTGGATGCCAGGACTGAGAGAGAACGAAAGGACTTGTGCACATTCGATGGATAGACACGAGAATTCCAGGAAGTGAGCGGAAGTCGGGGGAGATACATGGAGGTGGCATCCCAGGGCCATTCAATCATGCCTCCCGGCCCCCTGCTCACTCCCGTTCTAACTGCTATCTCAGCTGCCAATTTTCTTTATTGTTCGTTGGAGGCTTTCCCCCCTTGGTTTCACGTTTCCAATTTTCTAGATGAGTCCATTGAGAAGAAAGAAAAAAAAAAAAGATTTATTGTTTAGGAGTTTATTTTTGTATGAGCTTTGCCATAGATGTGTCATCCGTGAGGAATAGTGGTACCTCACGGTCTGTTAGTTAGCTAGTCGACCATAAATGTCAAACGTAAGTGACTATTATGAAGCAGCACATACACTGTAGGGAGACGGGTTTGATTTGTTTTGTAAAAACGAGTAAGTGTGGGGGCCGGGGGGTAGCTTTCACGGAGACAGGAGGATGTGGAGGGGAACGGGCTCCAGAGATGGGCCCGCGTCCCAGTCCTCTGGCCGCCCCGCACCGCTGTGCTGTGACGCTGGGTGCGCCCCTGTCCTCACCGAACAGGAAGGGTCATTTCCACGCCATCGTAAGGTTTTGGTGGGAATTGGAGTACAGGTGCGGCTCCCCTCACACTGCTTTGGAACACAGGACACACCCAATCAATGGCGACTCACGTGGAAGGTTTTTACCAAAAGGAGGGAACGTGATAAGTGGCTGGAATTTGCAGTCGGTGTTTTTTTTTTTAAAGCAGCGTTCAATGAGTTTCCCGAGGGGAGTTCTTATGACGGTTTTCATTCCTCACCCACCAACCCCGAATTCATTGTAGACGACTCGCATGTCACCTTTTTTTTTTTTTTCTTTTTCTTTCCCATTTATGTGTTTTCATAGTCTGTGATTGTGAAAAGTGTTGAACGAAATGCCTTAAATATGTATGAAGCAAGGAAATGTCTCCTCGGACTTGAAAGCAGTGGGGTTACCATAGCAACCAGTCCGTCCCCAGCATCGTGCCCCGCCGGCCTGGCCTGCCCCAGCCTGGATATCTTAGCGTCGGCAGGCCTCGGACTCACTGGACTAGGTATACCGCTCGTTACTAAAGCACTGCTCGGCCGCTTACCCAGACCCCTTCCTTTCTGCCGCAGGGGCTGCATCGGAAAGGGTATGTCTATGCTCAGGTGAAAAGCAGCAGGACTCGAATCAGTCCATTTTGTTGTTGGCCTTTTGTTGTTTTTTATTGTTAGACTCCATGGATTTGTTTCCCGGATTCTTCCTATTTCGGCATCAGTAATCAACGTCTGACGTTTATTTTCAGCCGTGTTTGTTCTTCTAAATTAAGAATGCCATTGTGAGGGAAGTCAGCAGGCTGACTGTAATTTATGTGTGTGCTCTCCCTTGTATTTGCAATATTGCCACCAGTCCCTGGAGCTAGAGAGTATCCAGTTTGCCTTTCCAAAAGTAATTGCAAATCTGTATGAGGGGGGTGAAGGGGGGAGGAGGAGGAGAGGAGAGCAGGCACAGCTTCCACGCCCCCTCCTTCCCCGCAGTGGCTAGGCCTACTTCGCGCAAACACAAAGGAAATCTAGCCTGCGGCCACCAAGGGCAACGAATGGACCTGCCTTCACATCTAAGGCAGCAAATAGGAAGATGAAAAGACATCGCCATCTCGGTGCTTCCGTTTTTTAGGATAATAGAGCCAGTCATTTTAATAGCCATGGCGATATTTATGGCCTCATTATGGACTCCTGTCTTGCAGGCTGAAGTTAGTTGCTGTATTAAATCAGGCTAGTCTCACGTCTTTCTTGTACATTTTTCTCAGTAGCCTTTACATGGAAAGTTAAAGCACTATCCCTAGCAAACCCATTCAGTGTTGATTTGAGGACAAAAAATACTCTCAGCAGTCTTTAAATTTTTCTAACAGCTATTCTTGCTTTAATAAATATAACACATTTAAATAATAGGATTAACACACCAAGTAGCCTTGCTTCGACACCATTATGGTAAAGGCAGGTGGTTTTTTTGTGTTTTTTTTCCTGGACCCCTCATCTCCCAAAGCTGTCCCTTCCACATGGCAATGCACCTCCAAGTGCCAGTCTCATCGCTTAGCAGGCACTGAATTCTTGCTGCAATAGAGAGAGAAAAAAAGTGAGCTGAGTTACTCAGTTTTATGCAGAGTTACTCAGTTTTTTGTTTGTTTGTTTTTAATATATTTTATTGATTTTTTACAGAGAGGAAGAGAGAGGGTCAGAGAGTTAGAAACTTCAATGAGAGAGAATCATCGATCAGCTACCTCTTGCACATCCTCTACTGGGGATGTGCCCGCAACCAAGGTACATGCCCTTGACCAGAATCAAACCTGGGATCTTTCAGTCTGCAGGCCAATGCTCTATCCACTGAGCCAAACCAGTTTCGGCCAGTTACTCAGTTTTTAAAATGTTTTTATGGCTGTACCTATCCTGTAACACCTAATGCTTTAAGTATTCCTGGAAACTCGTGTAAAAAATCCACATTTTATTTTAGATGCCAGAAGGGAAATTTCATTACCATATTTTAAATGCCAGAAGGGAAATTTCATTCCTTGAGTCAGGCATTAAATCTTTAAAACAAGGGAAGAGTTCGCAGGCGTGGAGATGGAGTGCGAAGGAGGCCCATCAGTGTTGGACACAGTAGAAAGCTGTTGCAGGTAGCTGAGCCTGTCCACAGAGGGCCAACCAGGACCATTCCGCTGCAGGAAACCAGGCCCTCAGTCGCTGCTAATTGTACGTGGTTTGAAGTGTTTGTTTGAAAGCGTATGACAGCTGAGCTGTGCAGGGGAAGGAAAATGGGTTCCCACTGGAGCAGACTGTTGTTCATCTTGGCCAGCGATGTGAATGCAAAGCAGCTGGTGGTGCTCAGTGACCCCCACAGCCTTCCTGGTTGGGGCACACACCTGTCTCCCATTTTCCGACCAGCATCTGTTGGTGGATAAGCTGGGGCCTGTGTTGAAACTGTATCAGGCTGTATTTCAGGAAATATGTGAAAGAAGGTAATCTATCACTCACGTTTCATATTCAGAAAATAGGAGATTATATCAAGGTGCGTTCCAAATGGCAATAGTGCTGCCATCTGTTATTTTGAAATCTTGAAATTATGCATATTGACTTTGCTTTCACTTACTGCAGGTCTCTTGGGCCCCACCACCTTATCTCTCAACACTTCGACAGCCCCGAACTCACTCTTGAATGCGCTCAATAGCTCCGTCAGTCCTTTGCAAAGTCCAAGTTCTGGCACCCCCAGCCCCACGCTGTGGGCACCCCCACTTGCTAATACTTCAAGTGCCACAGGTCAGTATCGTTTAAGTACAATCAGAGGCATGTCTTTGTAGCTATTGCCAGTTTTTATTTAAAAATGTATTAGTGGTTCCATGTCCTTAGGGGGGAAAAAATCATGGTTCAAAGCATACTTCAGCCCGACAGAAATCTGCTAATGTGTAAATTAGTTAAACGATATACAACAAAACAGTGAGTTTTCCATAAAAGTAAAACATAACCTTTAAAGGTGTCAAGCAGATCGGGAAAAGGAGCATAATGCGCAGAGAGCAGTGACAAAGTCAAATGAAGGTCACTGACTGATCACTCGGAAAGGTAGGTTTGAGCTGAAGAGGTTAGGATTGCCCGGTAGGTACACGCACACACGAAGTCCAGCCTGTTTCTTCGTCTGTACTGCGAGGAGCTTGGGTTAAATATTGCCTGGAGAGTTGTTCCATTTTAATATTCTTTTTTGTATAGTCAAGTTAAACCTGTTTGCAGAGAGATATCAACATTAAATTCCCTTCTGAATTTGCAGCAATAGCAATGATGTTTTTTGAAGTTACTGGGAATAATATAATGCTTATTGATTCTGTGTTCTCTCTAATACTTGTCTCCATAAAATATCGTTCTAGGCTTTTCTGCCGTACCACACCTTATGATTCCATCTACCGCCCAAGCCACGTTAACCAACATCCTGTTGTCTGGAGTGCCCGCCTATGGGCACACAGCCCCCTCCCCGCCTCCCGGCTTGACCCCCGTGGACGTGCACATCAGCAGTATGCAGACGGAAAGCAAAAAGATCTCTGCTGCCTTAAACGGACATGCACAGGTAATGCCCCTCAGGGAGGACGGTGGGATCTGTGCTGTTTGTCAGAGAGAAGCCACTGGTAAAACTTTGAGTTGAGGTGAATTTAGAATGGTGACAATAGCTGTGTGCTATTTTCTGTTGTTTCAGCCTCCGAACATAAAATATGGGGTAATAGCCACGTCGTCACTCGGAGAAAAAGTGCTGAGTGCGAATCGTGGTGATCCGTCCAGACAGACAAGCGGATCGGAGCAGGTGTCTCCCAAGCCAAATCCTGCCGAAGGTATCTGTCCTCTGGGCTTTGGCGGGCCTGTTCCTTGGACAAAGGGGTGTGTGTCTGTGTGTGTGTGTGTGGGGGGGGGTTTGGGGGAGGAAGAGGGGGCTTAGAAAGTCCACGCAGTGATTTTCAGATTGGTTTTGCTCATCGATGATGACTCATCCTGCCTGAAGTTTGCAGAAAGACAACATTTTGAATGAAATTCCAAAAAACATGGTAAAAGATACACCGAAAAGTAGACAGACTTTTTACAGAATCACTTTCCCATGACATTGAACTTCCTAAATGAAAGTGAATGTAATTATGTAGCAGTAAAGCATCAACTTCATAAGTGTGTGTGTGTGTGTGTGTGTGTGTGTGTGTGTAATTTTTTTCTAAGTAGAGTATTGTTAATCCTCTCATCCCTAACAATCTTTAAAAATAGGGGGGTCATTTCCTCAGATTTCATCTTGAGTTTTTGAGGCAGCCTGAACTTACGGTGTCGTCTTTGCAGCTGAGAGCTGCTATGTCTGTGTCTCCCTGGAGCTGGATTCTGGATTGCTTCCATGGCAGGTGATTGCTGATGGTGAACCGATGTTTTGGGTTCTGTTCTCCCTCTTCCCTGCAGGTGGCAATGATGCTTTTGTGGAAGTAGGCATGCCTCGGAGTCCCTCCCATTCTGGGAACGCTGGCGACCTGAAGCAGATGATGGGCTCCTCCAAGGTTTCCTGTGCCAAGAGGCAGACCGTGGAGCTCCTGCACGGCACGAAGAACTCCCACTTACAGTAGGTATTTTCGTCTCGGAAGGCCCTGGGTGCTTTGAAAGAAACTGTAGAGCAAGCTAGACTTGTCTCAGGCTAGTGGAACAACACTGGATTTGTTTGGCCGTGAGTGCTCCTTGGTTTCAGCAGGTTTGGTCTTATCCGGGAGTTTATTCATTTCTGTAGACGCAGAGGACTGACTGTACGCACTGTCCTATGCTATTTAGTATAAAGACTTGGACATACGTGGATTAATTTCCTTTTCTTTTTCCTTTAAAATCTTTTTTTTTTTTTTCATTGAAGTGACGTTGGTTTCTAACATCATATGACTTTCAGGTATGCAATATTATATAAACTTGACATCTGTATACACTACATCGGGCTCACAACCAAAAGCCCATTTTCCATCCATCGCCATACAGTTGGCCCTCTTATCAGGTAACCAGAGATCTGCTGTCTGCTTCTATGAATAGGTTTTCTTTGTTGAGTTTTTTTTTTTTTTCTTCACTTAGCATAATACCCTCAAGGTTTATCCTTAACACAAATGGCAGATTTTCATCTTTTTTATGGCAGAGTAGTATTCCATTTCAATCTTAGTGATTTTTTTTTTTTTTTTTTTTTTTTTTTTTTGTGGATAAAAATGTTACTAAGAAATAATATCTGGTAATTCTCACCCTTATATCTATCTAGAGTCCTTCTCTTCATAAACCGTGGGTATATATCTGGGTCCTCTGAACTTTCTCTGTTGCTCTGAAATGTTTAACATTATCTCTGCTCTTCTGTGACCAGCAGGATGGTTTTTACTTTCCTGATGATTGCTTTTAGGTATTTTCCTGGTGTGAATTCTCTTTCACTTACCTTTGAATTTCTGACTGAAACCATGGCTCCCTTGTTCCAAAGTAGTTAACTGCTCACTTTAGTAATAAATACTTGACAGTATCATGATTTCATTTATTACAAATCACAGTGAATGTGAACCATATACTTTATTAAATATAACTCCCCTGTACCATAGGACAGTTACAAATGGGTGTTCCTTATTTTGTGTTTCTTGTTTAAAATTGCCAGCCTATGTTTGTTTGTTTTTAAAAGAAAAACAATGGAATGCTTCTGTATTGAAATGTTTTGCTTCTATCTATCTCCGTTTTCCCAATTTCCCCTACTGTCTTATAAGTTTTCTTATGCAGCTGACCCTTGAACAATGTGTGGGTTAGGGGCCACTGACCTCCTATGCAGTCAAAAATCCGTGTCTAACTTGGACTCCCCCAAAACTTAACGACAGTTGTCCCTTGGTACCTATAGGGGATTGATTCCAAAAATCCACATATGTCCAAAATCCATGTACACTAAATAGCATAGGAGAGTATATACAGTCAGTCCTCTGCATCTGCAGATTCCCCACCATGTGTCGAAAATATTGTTTTCAATCTGAAATTTGTTAAATCTGTGGGTGCGGGACCCAGGGATATGGCGGGCTGCATGCTTTCAGATCAACTCAATCCTGTTTAGACAGTGTACTCATAGGTCACTGACACATCCCATTAACAATATGACATATATACTGCATACAGAATATGTTTGACTATAGATCATGGAATAGTTTTAACTCTGGCTCTTAGAGTCAGAATGCCGGAGTTCAGACCCCAGCTCTATCATTTACCAGAGGTATGACTTGGGCTTCCCTCTTCTGTAAAATGGGAAGAATAATACTGCCCGTCTCACAGTGGTGGTGTGAGGGTTAAATGAGAAGATGCATACAGATAGTTGGCAGTGGCTGGCATACAGTAAGCGTGGCACAGGGGGGAACATCCGGTGCCTTTGTGTGTGAATGGCGGAGGGTGTTAACGTGCAGACTCTGTTTCACAGCAGTGCTGACCGGCTGCTCTCGGACCCGGAGCTGAGCCCCGCGGAGAGCCCTCTGGCTGACAAGAAGGCCCCGGGGAGCGAGCGTGCTGCAGAGAGGGCCGCGGCCGCCCAGCAGAACTCGGAAAGGGCCCGCCTGGCCTCCCGGCCGTCCTATGTCAACATGCAGGTGACGGTGAAGTGAGCGGGAAGGCCCTCCACACGGAGAGGCTTGGGGGGGACGGTGGCGAACTCAGAAACTAGGTTTTCGTCCTGCACTCCAGTCCAAATTATTATACATTTAAGGACATGTGCAGTAGTTAGGAATTGGTTTTGCTATAAACTTTAAACATGAAATGCAGGATTTAGCTTAAACGATTAAGTTGTTTAAAATATAATGTAAAAAGTGATGTGAATGGTTTTTGTCACTATAATGTAAATGACACTATTCACCTGTTGTTTTATAAAATTTTAGATAAATGCCAGAGCTGTTTTTTCTAAGTATTACTGCCTCTTGACATAGTTTTGGATAAATAGACACAATAATCCTATCTATAAGATGGAGGTGATAAATTTGGTGTCATTTTAGGTAGTTATAAAAATAGCTAATATGAAGCTTTAGGTTTTTGAAAATAGATGATAAATATTACTGGTGATTATATTGATTCACAGGTAATCAAAATAATTTTTATTTTAAAGAATTTCCTCAGGGATTTTTCTCTGTATCTGTAGTAGGCTAGTTATTCAAAATTGACTATTGAACATGAAATTCAGAATTCTGATTTCTTTATAGATGACAATATGAAAGATAAGGATTTAGAGATTCCTATAACCATTTGATTTCAGTATCAGAATTATTGGGTGGACTTACCTACTTCATAATGAGATAATATCACCCCCACTCCCCAACTCCAAAAAAAGTCCTAGAAACTAAACTGTCACAGATATGCAAAGAAGTTAATTCACGGAACTAAATTATACTTCTGTAATTCCAGCAAAAACTACAACTCAATCCTGCTTATCTGTCCTTTTAATCCTTTACATTTGAACATTTCTGTGTTTTTAAATGAATGTTTTCACAAAGCCGTGGCCTTTATCAAGTGTCAACGTTTAAAAAAAGAATTATATCTGATACGTTTTCTCTGGTGGACTTATTTTCAGTTAATATAAATTAAAATCCCCTCCTCAGAGAAGTATCAAATCCCTTTCATAACCCCGTTGTGGTTTCTATCCGTCTCCTGGTTCTTACCTTTCCCAACCACTTTATAACTAGAGTGAACCACTTTGATGTTTCTTTCTTTTAGGACAGATAAGAAATGTTCTTGGTGATATAGTTTCAACTTAAATAGATGTATTTGTGCCGTTACAAAAGAGCTGACTTTAAAAAAAAAACTAAGAAATCAATGAGGGTAGTCACCTAGCAGTGACGGGAGGAAGAGTGAAGACTCCCTGATTCCCTCACTGAGAACTTGATGCCTCCGGCAGTCCTTGGAGAGCTGCATCCCCAGGTCCCTCCACACTTACCTCACTTCCTGACTTATTTTGTAGTTATTTCCTTTACCCAGCCCTGCTGAGGCTCTCTGTGCTTTGAGGCTATCGGTTGTTGTCTTTTTGTGGTTTTCTTCCACTAAGTGCCACACAGTCTCTTTAACCTGAGGCACTTAATACATATTTATTGAACAAGTGAATGTAGGATCTTCCCACACCTTGCCCTCAGGCATTGATCATGAAAAGTTGACTTTAATTTCCAGTGCCACTTCAGATCTGACATTTCAAAACCATCGTCAAATATGTTCTCCACGAATCCACTCTACTCTGCCATGTTCTCAGAGTGCACCATGCGGCCTGGTTGGTCTGGGTCAGCCGTTGGCTTGTGTTATCCAGACCTAACTATTGCTTGTGGCACACCCCCTCTCAGTCTCCCTTTCACATTGTCCATTACCCGGGATGTGGCCTGCATGTGGTGGTGTAGGCCCCTCAGAAAAAGGGCCAGGAGAGAACTTGCCAGTTGTTTTTCAGCCTCCCGATTAACAATGTGAAACATTGTTAATCAAGTCTTAGTTCCTCAGCTGGGCAGTTGAGAACACTAGGTTAGCATGTGAGATGGAGCTCTGACGAGAGTACTTTCTCCCAAATGACCTACCTTGGGTTCCGTATAGACCTGACCATGTCACCTGTCACTTGCGTATGAGGGAAAGAGTGGATGGTGCCATCCTACTCCTGTGCAATACAAGGTCACTAGGTTTAGTTTATTGTGATGCTTACTCTGATTATGGCTTAAAGCACGACATGTGCCATTTTTCTCATTTCAAAAGCAAAGACCATTCCAATTAGCCTAAATAACTTCTTCAGCTGCCTGGACATCACACCACTTCAGGCCATCCTTTGAAGAGGGGATTTTGATAAACAAATGAGGCCAGTAGATAACCTGAAAGCATATTGTGCTTTAGCATAGACTTATGCTGGTGTTTTAAAAATTATATATTTTATTGATTTTTTTTTTTACAGAAAGAAAGGGAGAGGGATAGAGTTAAAAACACCGATGAGAGAGAAACATCGATCAGCTGCCTCCTGGGGACGTTATCCTGGTGGTTTAAATATTCATAGAAAATAGGATTTTCCCTCCCCTTTTGAAGGAAGATTTCTGGCTCTTGTCATTGTCTCGATTTAAAGTCAAAAGTAGTAATTTATAATTTTAATTAATTAGATTTGAAAACATGTTTAAATTGATCAGATTTGCACTGAATTGATGGCACATTATAGTGCAAAGCTTAGCCGGTAGATTCGTGGGCTGTAGTCAAAATCTTAGTTTTCTAATCATGGGGGATCAGCATGACATTTGGATAAACTGGCAATACAATATTTTTGCTCTGTTTTATTTTCAGGCATTTGATTATGAACAAAAGAAGCTATTAGCAACCAAAGGTATGTGATATAGTAATGGTTTTGACTCCCTCCCCCATCAAAGACCCATAACAGATTCTCCAGTATTCACTTTGAATTGTGAAATTGGGCTGTCATAAAAAAAATGTTTTAAGTTCAAAGTTGCAAACATTTTATTGAGTAGATTAGCATTAGATCAATTATGAACCAATGGAGCATTTTAAAATTGAAATAAACTATTTTATGACAATACAGGCATTTTGTATTAAGAAAATAGTCAGGTATGATTTCTTTACATATATCAAAGGAACAGCACATATCAATATTTTAAAAAATATATTAAACATAACAAGCATTTTGTTTTATGTTCTGTGTCCCAAAGCTATGTTAAAGAAACCTGTGGTGACGGAGGTCAGAACACCTACCAACACCTGGAGCGGCCTCGGGTTTTCGAAGTCCATGCCCGCTGAGACCATCAAGGAGCTGAGACGGGCCAACCACGTGTCCTATAAGCCCACGATGACAACCACGTTTGAGGTTTGTAGAGTCATCCCTACCCCTTTTCCTGTCTGCTCTCAGCAAGGGAGAGCAGTCGTAGTCCCTTCACTCCCATTTTCTATTAGAAAAGTCATTAAGGGGATTTGTGTTAACTTCTCTTCTTACACACATACTGCCGTACAGTGGATGCACTCTGACATGATCTTTCACGAATCTTCTCTCAGAGTTGTTGGTCCGCTGTTTGTTGTGATGTAAATTTTTCACTGAGTGTTTCTGAGGAGGAGAGTGTCGTAAATGCTAAAACAGGGCTGAGGTTAGGCAAAGGATAGATGTAACCATAGCCCATAAAAATGTATAAAGAATCCTTTTATTCAGGGGTATCCCTAGCAAGCTCACCACAGGGAGAAAAGGCAAATTTTCTGTAAAAACAAGTGTCCAGATAGGAGTTAAAAATTCAGCGTGTTCCGTTGTGCCAGGAACACGGCAGGAAGCATCACAAACGAGAGCTCCAGAATTTTATGATTCCCAGATGTTGGCCGCACTGCGGAGTGAGGCTGGGAAGCTGGCACCTGCACCACACAGAGAAGGGATCCAGAGCCCCCAGCTCCCCAGCCAGGCTGCACATGACTCGTCCAGCCGGCCTTTCGGCTGGAGTGGACCCGATGTTGGCTCCGGGCCCTTTGCCCGTGGGGGTGGAATAGGCGCGCGCACGCATGCACGCACCCACTGGGGAGACTGAGCAGACCCAAACCCGGATGGAAATGACCGGTCCAAGAATCACAATGTCCAACCAGAGCACTGCAGACTGAAAAACAAACACTGGTGAAGGGTTTCATAATTGTTAGTCTAATCACTGGCATTTGTGGATTGACCTTCTTCTTCCCACCTGTTTTCTTTGTAATAAATTAGAGTGTTGGGGAAGGGTAAAAGCAAATGCGCATTTTCTCCTCCCTCTCTCTGCGTCAGCGAAGAAGCAGATACTATGGAAATATTGAAGGTGAGCTATGCTCACCACTATACTACCAACGCGGACGGTACTATGGAAATATTGAAAAGAGACTAGTCTCCTATGAATTTTGAATTTCAGTGTCAGGCCAGTAGCAAGCTGACAGGGGTCTGTAAAGATGGAGGTTGCTGTCAGCAGCGGGAGCCTAGGGACCGAGGGAAGAGTTTTGCTGCTCTAGGAGGTACAGTCCTCTCGCTGCCATTGTTTCTGTGAAAGAAACTAAACCACTTTTGTTGTTTCTCTCAAACACTGCCGTGTTCATTCTCTCCACGGATGCACCTCCAGTCTCATCCATTTCACTCACCTGTGTTGGTAGGATGGGGTGTTAGGTGGTTGACTGTGTGTGTTCTTTCAGAGATGAAATGGTCTCTGCAGAAATGCTAGTTCAGTTCTGTCCTCAAAGACCAACAGTGTGACGGTGTGAAATGATCATTGTGGCCATGTGGTCAGGTGCAGGGGCTGTGGGGCCGGACAACCCCCGCGGACAGATGTACAGCTTTGGGGGGTGGCTTCACCCCCGAGCCTGTTTTCTCGTTGGCTGGTTTAGAGGATCGCATGGGAGAGGGCAGCCGGTGCGGAGCATGGTGTGCGGTAGCTTCTGAGTGATACTTAGCGGTTCCTTTTATTTCCACTGGAGAACTTTACTCTGAGGGAAACCAAGAGCTTGGAAAATGATGGAGTCTGTTGGTGGCAGCTGTGGAAATGGAGAGAAGTGGGGAGAAGTGAGTGTGTTCAGAGATGGCATGGACAGGATTTGCCGATGTATGAGAATGGATTGAGCAACTGGGTAAATGGTAGCGTTACCTATCGAGATGCAGGGATTCTAAGAAAGGAGTAGGTTTGGGTGCAGGTGGAAGGGACAGATATACAACAGTTTAATTTCAGGTACTCTAAATGTAAAGTGCCTGTGAGACAGTTACATGGAGGTGTCAGATTGGCAGCTCCATGATGCTAATTTGAACAGAAGAGTTAAATCTGGAGGTGAAAACTTGATGTAGTTTAGCCTTGAAAGAGATTGAGATTACTTAATGAGAGAGAATGGATGCCAGGATCAAGCCCAGTAACATGACATTCAGAGTGGAAGGGGGAGGAAGATCCTACAAAGCTCCGGTGACGTAGGTGGGAACCCTGGGAGTGTGGTGTCCGGATGCCCTGACGTGTGAAAGGAGGGCGTGGCAGACTGTGAAACCGAAGTAGGTGGGAGTGTTGAAGTGGACAGTAAAGGATTCTCTTGGAATTCCCCAATGAACGTGAAACTTTGGAAACTAAGGAATCTTGACGTTAATTTTCTAGATATAGTACAAAACGGAGGTCTGTAATACGGTGACAGAATGAACAAATAGTTCCATGCAGACTTTGAGATCTTTTAAATTATTATTTTGATTTGGGGGAATTAAATAAGGTCGACTTTTCTAGGTATTTGTAATTTGTTGGAGGGGTCTTATTTATATGAGGCCAACCCCGGAGTCATGCCAGTTCCCTTTCCACCTTTATTAGCCTGGGAGCTGGATTCTTGTCAAAGCGTTGGGTCTACTTATTCCTCTTCCCCGTTATTTATCCTCGGTGGGACACAAGGCGGAGCATCTCTTGTAGATCTTTACAGGACTAAGTCTTTACACCAAAGAACCTCAGAACTCTGTTGGGCACCTTCAAGATGAAGGGCAGAGACTTCACTGTGTGCCTTACCAAGCCCTTGGTGGCTGGAAGACACAGGATGGAGACAGGGGCCACAGCCTCCTCCCTGGGAGCAGCATCGGCGGCTGACTGCAGTGGTTAGCAATTGGAGTAGATGGCAGTGGTCCATTGGGGATTCTTTCCCCTCCACCCCCCTCATTAAACAGCTCCTTGTCTGGCTTTCATTGCTTACAGGGCTCATCGATGTCCCTCTCGAGGTCCAACAGTCGTGAGCACTTGGGAAGTGGAAGCGAATCGGATAACTGGAGAGACCGAAACGGAATAGGACCTGCCAGCCATAATGAATTTGCAGCTTCTATTGGCAGCCCCAAGCGCAAACAAAACAAATCAAGTGAGCTTTGACTTTCAATCCTACTTTTAGATGTAATCAGCGTGAAATTTGTTTATCTGGTTCAGGGTGATGCTCAAGTATGAATTCCCCACCCTATGCCTTCAAGGGTTTGTCGTCACTCACATGCCATCTCCTCTGTGAAGCCTTCCTTTTTCCCCGGTGAAGCAGACCAGGTGGTTTTCTGCTTGCACCACAGTTTGTACAAGCTTTTCCTCTAGCACCTGTCATGCTGAAGTGTAATTAGCCGTGTACGTCTCCTCCTGTAGAATTTGAACTCCACAGCCAGGGATCATATTTATTCATTCAGTGAACACTTTTTAAATGCCCACATGCCAGGCATTCTGTTAGGCTGCGCCTGGTTTGTTATTTCTTCCCAAATGTCTGACAGTGTGTGACACCCAGTAGGTGCTCAGTAAATGCTTGTTGAAGGGATGTATACACACACACACTCAGAAAATGCTTTTTCTCATCAGGAAAAGGCAGGGACAGGAAGACGTGGAGCACACGGTGCTCAAGTTAGCATCTTGACAACAGGAGAAAGTCTGCTCTGTCGGTAGCTCCTTACGGTGAAAAGCAGCATTTGATACTTGACATGGACAAGATGTAGCTGAATTTATGTAAACTTAATTTATGTTTAAAGCAAAAGGGTTCTGGCCTTAAAAAGATGCAGTTGAGACTCAGCATGTGTCCAGTGGTTTGTCTGTAGCAGCATCCCCACTTCTGGGCTGTGTGAAAGGGTGAGCAGATAAGTACTGGCAGTAGCCATCGCCGTACATGCCTTTGTTTGGGGTTTGGGACGAATGGGGAGCCCTGAGACCCAGAGCGTGGGGTATTTGAAGGCTCCTTAAAGGCCGCCTCAGTGAGCACAGTATCCACTCAGTAAGTCAGATGTTACCATCAGTCAAGTTGCCGTGCTGTGGAGGGCCTCCGAGTCGAGAAGAACAGTGTGGGGTCGGCCAAGTCTCAGGAAGAGAGCGCGGCCAACACGTTCATTCCCTAGTGCGCTGTCCGTGGGGTCTGGGCCCTCCATCACTCACAGGAGGACGGACTGAGGCAGCTGGTGCCAGGGAGGTCTGGAGGTGGAAGTGATCTCTGTTCTGTAGGCCAACATAAATGAGTCCTATGCTGGATAATTAAATTTGACTGTGAACTTAGATGCAGTGAAGTTCAGGATTAGGGATAAAAATATCAGGATTCTTCGATAAAAGGGAATCGTTAAAGAAAAATTATTTTGCTTTTGTCAGATGTTTTAAGACAACAGGGAGTTTAAAAGGGAACACAGACTCTCTAAGTAGTTACGATAAAAAGAAACAAATATACATTAATAGATATCACTAAGAATATTTTAGCACATCCCCCCCCCCACATTTTATTAATGAATTTTCTTATCTCAATATATGCCAAGTATTATTTAACCGTGTAATCTACATAAAGACATTTTTTATATAATATTTTACATTCTTTTTTATACTATGTCTTTAAAATCTGGTGTGCCTTTCACACTTACTGAACATTTTCGTTGCCAATGGCTAGTGTACTGAACAGCACAGTTTAAAAAAAAATTTTATACCCTCTTCAGCATTATCAATGTCTAGGTTTTCCCCAGGCATCTCTGCTTGCACCAGTTGTTCCAGTGTTAATTCTCAATAACTCCCACTTTTACCATTTGGACAATTATATGGTAAACTTACCATGTGGTCACTCCAGTGTGCCCATCATATCCTGCTTGGCATCACCCTTGACCCAGTATGCCACAGGTCACTCCCTCAAAACCTTTTTGGTGACATTGGGGCCTTACCTTCAAATGGCGGCGTGGGCCAGGGCCGAAGGCCTCTGGAGCTTGGTTCTGGATTCTTTTTCCGTCACACTCTGTCCACGAGAGATAAGACATCTGTTTTTGAAGAGAAAGAGAACTCTTATCAGGAAATTCCTTCCACTTGAGATAAAGGACTCCTCCATTGGGAGGTGAAAACAACTGAAGGAAGGAGTTAGTGGCACCCAAAACAGTGCCGAATATGATTCTTGGATTTGGTGAACGCATTGACCCCAGAGATTGGGGGGACCTGACTGGCCAGGTGAGTGTCTTCCTTCCCTCTCTCCCTGGGAATCCCCTGTGAGGCAGCCTCTTTGGTATAAGGGGACTGAATCCCCACATGGACAAGAGCCAGTTGTTGGCCGGGGATATGGGCTGCACAGCTCAGTAGAATCTCCGAAGCAGATCTTGAAGAGTGCTTAAACATTTGGTCAAGTACTTGGCCTGGCTCACTAGGCCATCACCCAGCTGTGCACGTCTCGGGGCCTGAGTACCGAACAGGATGTGGAGAAATCTTCACCCATAAATCGACTACGGAGCCAAGCAAAGGTCAGCATTGCTGTCTTAGGGTTTTTCTCCAGAGACCCATCTGTTTCTGTCCTAAATGAAATCCGGGAACTCCAGCAACATTTCTGTCTCACTTCATGGTGCTCTTGATGTTGGAAGTCCTCTGTTTTGTGAGCTTACGGCCCAATTATATTTTTGTAGGCAAGGAGATGTAAGTGGTGCACTGTTATAGAACTCCTCTGACCATAGGTGAGCACAAGTGTGGAGACAGAGCCACCCAAAGGGAGCCTGGACTTGCAGTACCTTTCTGTACCTTAATTATGTCCTAAGGGTCTTCCTCCCAATTCCTCATTTAATTCACTCGCAATCAATTATAAAGAGCAAATGCTTCTGAATGCTCTTGGAGAAAGTGATTAATGATTATTAACTGCAGAGGCACTGTTGCTGAATTGCTGCCTCCCCAGTGTAACCTTATAAATGGCAAAGAGCCTCTCTGAAAGCAATAACCGGCGTTTCGTTAATGAAAAGCCAGCGTTTCACTCCGTAAAGGATTGCTCTGCTTCTGCAGCTCCCGCTCTGTTCACCCCAGCAACGAAGCTGAAATATTGGAGGGATTAAAACTTTTAATTAAACCTTGTTCTCTCTGGGCATTTGCACTTCAAGCCTGTCTCTCGTTTGCCCTTCAGCGGAACACTATCTCAGCAGCAGCAATTACATGGACTGCATTTCCTCGCTGACAGGAAGCAATGGCTGTAACCTCAACAGCTCTTTCAAGGGCTCCGACCTCCCCGAGCTCTTCAGCAAACTGGGTCTGGGCAAATACACAGACGTCTTCCAGCAGCAAGAGGTCAGTCATTATTTACTCACCCTCCCCACTCCACCTTCGCTTGGGTTCTGTGTATGACGACTTCTAGAATGAGATCACTCACTGACCTGTGACCGCTTTCATGGAGCATTGATTCAAGTCTCGTAGCTTGTTTTTGCTGCTAAGAAAAAACGTGACCTCATTTCCTATTTAGTGCAACTAGTAAATACAGGATGTGTGTTCACAAAAACACACCTTCAACAGTTCTGGCTAAACAGAGTATTGATGCCTTGGAACTTGTGCACAGCTCTCAAGGGCAGCAACAAGTCTGTATTTAATATGACTTCACACTTTATTATCTTTATCTGTGGCACTTTATATATAACGGTACCTGAAATGAATGTGGGGTTGTTTCGGACCCCATCCTACTCATGTTACTGAAGTCTGTTCTCAGAGTATAATTTATTCTTTAATTTACTGATTGGCTTTTGCCCAAGCTGAGGTGTTTCCTGACCTATCTCTACCATGGATTTTGGTCTCACTGCTCAGCCACGGCCATTATGCTCTGACGTAGAGAATAGAGTGTGACTCTTTCTGATGATGCTGTCCTTTTGCACAGTTCACCCTATGCAGCAGAGAGTTAGGACAGTTCCATGAATGTATCTATTCAATTCTAGTTTGACACTAGTATCTTAGAGACCATCTGATTACATCAGTGATTCCCAGTGAATGAAGAATCTAGACTTTTTATTTATTGCTTTTTATCATAAATGTAAGGTATTGCCCATAGCTCAATAACTTAAGTTTGATTGCTGAACTTTTTCCTTTTTAATACCAAAAAGATTATTAAGTGTATATTGGATAATTAGTGTTCTAAATTTAACCAAGGATATTGTAAGTTGAATAACATTTTCATCATCAGTGCATCAAGGAATTGCACTTAGTCCTGCAGCTTGGATGAGGGTGGCTGATTGAGAAGTTCAAAGGCAGAAGCAGAAGGTCTCCCAAGTAAGATTAGATATTATTCAATAACATTCAGGGTTTCTTTTTAATCTACTGTATAGTATTTATTTTAAGAAGCATATAAATAAATTTATTATGGGTACTTCTTATCCACTTATTTCAAAAAGGAAGAAAATATGATCATATAAAACCAAGGTAGCTGGCTTTATATCATATTTATTAACTTAGAGCAGGCTACAGCCTGCAGACTTGCTGCCTGATTTTGTCAATAAAACTTTTGGTTGGAACACAGCTTCATTTATATATTGTCTGTGGTTGCTTTTGAGCTCAAACAGGAGAGCTGAGTAGTTGCAACCAAGTCAATATGGCCCACAAAGCCTAAAATAATTACTGTCTGGCCCTTTATTTCAGGCATCCCCAAATTCCTAGTCTCCATTAAGTAGAATTCCTGAAAACATAGCTTTAGGTCTATGATAAATGAAAAACAAAAAGGTTTTACAAGATCTTGGTGTAACTTCTAAATCAAAACAAAATTTCAGATTAATTTCTTGAAAAGTATGCATTGCTATTTTCAGATGTGTTAGAATTTGGTACTGCTTCCTGTATTCAGGTATAACTTAAGAATTCACGTTAACTAACCTTGTGAGATTTATTTTGAACAGGATGAAGATTTTTATTGAGCAACCTTCCCAGCTAGTTCTATATACATTATTACCAACCACAGCTGCCCATTCCTTTATCCTCTTGGTGAGCCCTTGGCTTTATGTCTACAATCATATTTAATGCTCACAAAAGCCCTGCAAGGTACACTACCGTCAACCTGTGTATGCACACAAGTCTTATCGGAATCTGAACCCAGATCTCTCTGCCTTCAGATCCCAAGGCCTTCCTGTTCTCCCACACCGTCTTCAAAGGCGGGATGAGATCCTCGGGGAGCTGCCCTCCACACTTTGTTGCTGATGCCAAAGAGAAGCCAATGGTCTTGTCTGCCAGGCATTCCTCTGTCATTCTTATGTAAAACACAGTGGAAGATACCATCTATGCTATTTATAATTCAGTTTCTTTTTATAGAGATATACTAATGTAAAACACAGTGGAAGATACCATCTATGCTATTTATAATTCAGTTTCTTTTTATAGAGATATACTTAACCAAGTCCAAGCTAAGAAATATCTTCTCTCTTTTGGGCAGATATATAGTCTTCCTTTTACCAGTTCGCAAAAAAAAAGTACTATTTGTATTTCCCTTTTTGTCCTGGCTGCCAGGATGCTCAGATTTAAGCTTTTAATCTCCAGTGCAGTAAATCATTGGCTTAGACTAAGTCTACTGCCGGAATAATCACTTTTGTTTCATCCTCATGATTACTGTCCCTTAGGTTTGTGACATCACTGTTCTTTTTTGGAAGTAGGCAGAGCATAATTAATAATTAATAAATAAAATAGTATATTGGTTATAGATTACCTTTTCACCCACAGATCGATCTTCAGACATTCCTCACTCTCACAGACCAGGATCTGAAGGAGCTGGGAATTACGACTTTTGGTGCCAGGAGGAAAATGCTGCTTGCGATCTCAGGTGAATATAAATGCTCACACTCATACTTTAAGTCTGAGTAACTTCTGCCAGTGGTCTCAGCCGGTGGGGCTGGTCCGATCCATTTATTACTTGCTTACCACCTGGGCTCCTTGATGGTTGTGGTTTCAGAGTGCTTCTGGCTGACAGTATGACCAATGCTCAGAACATCACCTCTTTCATCAAGACATTGCCTGAAAACCTGCTGTGACAGTGTCATTCCTTAAAACAAATTCCTCCAGAAAGATCTAACCAGAATTGCCCTTTGGAGAATGTGAGACGGGGAGAGGGGGGGCAGCGCAGTCCTCCTTTCCTGTGGTGGTGGTGGTCAGCAGCAGGCGTTGGGTTAGTGAATGATGATTCTGGACTGGCTGTCGGGTTTCAAGTACGTGCGTGCTTGTATACCAACAGAGGCCATTGCAGCAGTGAGTGCTCTGAGGTATAGCTGGAACCTGACAGGTATTACTTGTCTGAATGTTTTTTGTTTTTTACTAAAGTTTTCATGGAATTTATGAGTCACAGAAGGGTGTAGGGTCTTGAAATTAGTCACAGAATGAAGGAAAATAATGTTGTCTGTCTCCCAGACTGCCTTCTGTGTGCAGAGGTTTCGTGTTCTATGTATTACAAAATGCTCTACACATACTTACTGGGTGCCTCCTATTTGAAAGGAGTTGAGCCAGCTGATGAGTCAGGAGTTGGCAAATACAGAACAGTGTACCTCCAAAAGGTGTTTTGAGAAAGATGAGGAAGAAACGGGGTGGGTCAAAATTTGGGTTCCTTTTTGAAGACTTTCTGAGGAATGTCGGTCTTTGAAAAAGATACTGAAGGCAGAAGTCAATGGTCAGGTGGGGTGAGACGATGACTTGGCTTTTTCAGAACATTGAGGCTGCAGGCTGTGCCTTTTTGAGGCGAGCCATTGCAAACAGCAGCCACTAATCAGACCAACAAGTAAAATCTAAACCTCAGTGGTTTTCCATGTTGTGTTAGCAGCAGATTGCACCCCACACTTACTCCCCCAAAAGGAAATCTCATCAATAGACCTAGTATCTGAAGCAGACATAAGCAGAGCAGCTTTGACCCGGGGCTGGGAATTCAGCCACTGCGCAGCCTGCGAGGGCCTCTGTGAGTAAACACGGTTCTGCACACATCGGTTATTGGGGGCATCTCTCTCCCTCTGTGTACCCAAGTGGCTGCATTCAGGGCTCTCCACGGGGCAGACACTTTTCCTTCTTCGCTCATAAGACCAGCTTGACATAAAGTACAGAGAACACTGTATTCAAACAAGGAGGTTTGGGCTTTGCCTCTGCCACTCGTGAGTCCTTGGGTGAGTTTCCAAAACCATGAAAGCGGATAGGAATAGATGGTCGTGTGGAGTTACCTTCCATTTCTACATCTGTCCTTCCACGTGGCACCTATAATGAATCGCAGGGGCCTCTCCCGTGGTTGTTGTTTATTGTCTGTGTCAATGGAATAGTTTTTGTTTTTCTAACTTGTTTACCCTAAAACCAGGGGGCTATTCCTAGAACTAAATTTACTTGACATATTTTCACTCCTTGAGCCTTGATTAAGTCACAGAACCACCGCGCTTATATTAAAAATATGCCTGTGGGCCAGCACGTTTACGGACAAGAAGAGTGTGTTCCAGAACCCCGTAATCTTTCTCTTAGGGATTCATGGAATGTCGGTGACTCTGAAAGTTTTCTTTGTGTACCAACCCACTTTCAAACTCTGTCAGGCTTCTAGCAACAAGCAGATAGCTCTCAATACTTTCCAGGGTTCCAGCTGGATTGTTACCATCTTTCCTTGGAACACACTGGTGATCTATTCCAGGTGGGTTTGGGGGAGTGCTGTGGGAGACAGCAGGGGTTTGAGTCCTCTTTAAAAAGGTTGTTTTACCCAATCCTCATCTTCAGTGTGGTTCTGCTAATGTTACAGCTTCTATAGCCGGCCTCTCTCAGTGGGGTTCTCCGGTCCTTTCTTTGAAAGGGAAGGAGACTTTGAGTAAGATGCCTTATGAATGCTCTGCACGGCAGGAAGTCCTTGATTATTTTAAGAATGATTTCACCTTACTTTGTTGAGTGCATTTGTTTGAACTTGGAAAATTGTTTTCTCTGCAAATAATCAGTTTTTATTGAGAAGCCCTTCATCAAAAAGCTTCTTTTTCCGGTTCAGCTCATTAAATAACAAACACATCCATTTATAGTCTCAGAACATTCCATTTCCAGGTAGGTGCATGCTAGCTGGGCAGCCTGGACATGCGATGGCCTTGTGGTTACTGAGTTTGCTCACAATTCCTTTTTTAAAAGTTTATAGTTTTAACTTATAATCAGAGTTCTTTCAGTGTAAGGTTTGGTTCTATTTTTAATTTTGAGCCACAAAACATGTATTTTTGTGTTATTGAGATTTATCTCTAGTAGAAATGGATGAGAGAGAATTTTTTTTTTCAAATCCATGATTTTTTGAACACTTTTATATTTCTTTCAAGAGTATTTTCATAAGTAGTTAACTAAATATGCAGGGACTGAGTGAAAGGAAGTTTAGCATCCTGTTGTCAGGCTTCCCACCAAGGCCACAGGTAGATCTAACATTTCCCGACCTATTCTTTTAGTTTGTGACTCTGTTCAGATCCGCAACAAGATCCTGAGAGCTGCCAGGATTGTGTGACCCTTGGAATTTCAGACAAAAAGGTTGGTATTTCCCCAATTATCCCTTAGGCTTACTGGATAAAAAAAAAAAAAAAAAAAAAAAAGATAGAGTTTGCTTTTTAATTTAAAAAGCTAACATCTATTCAGTAGGATTTGCTCCTTGAGACTCTCTCTGGGAGATTTGTATCTTAGAAATTACTTTCTTTAGGGAATGGCTGAGTTCCTTCACGGTCATTTTATTCTTCCCAAAGCCTAGTTGATACGACTTTTCAGAGTAAAGTTTTCAATGTCTATGAAAAAAAATTGTTTTCTTTACTGGCCCAATGGTTTTCGTGTACTCACTTGGACCTGTTCTGTGGGATAGGGGAGTAGAATGTTTGACCTCATTCACTCCTTTTCTCTTCTATAATATGGGAACTTGATACAATAGCCATCTGTAAGCATGCCTGCATGCGTTTTTTGCTTATAAAGGTCTCTTCCTTACTTTTTTAAAGTTTTTAAGCTACATTTTTTTTATTTTTAAAAAAGAAAATTAATATATTAACTATGAAGGAAAGCTCTGCTGCCTGGCATATTGGAACTATCAGTTTCTCAGATTTGAGTTTCTTACGCTGTGGATGGATCTCTGCAGCCCAGGGCCTGGACCCCTGCATCAGGCAAGGTTAAAGCTTGTCACTGAACTGCTGTGTGACAACTTATTTTGACTTTTTTTTTTAATCTTCACCTGAGGATATTTCCCTATTGATTTTTAGAGAGAGAGAGAGAGAGAAACATCTATATAAGAGAAACATATTGATTGGTTGCCTCCTCCACATGCCACAACCAGGACCCTGGCCAGGGAGGAGCCTGCAACTGAGGTATTGTGTGTGCTTTTGACCGGAATTGAACCCTTTGGTCCACAGGCCAACACTCTATCCACTGAGCCAAACCAGCTAGGGCACTTTGACTATCTATAAAATGGAGAATGGTAATGTTAGCTACCCCTTAAGGAGGACTTAAATACAACAAAACAAATATAAAGTGCTTGTCATATAAACCGTAATAAATCATGGCATTTTCCTTACAAATGTCATGTAAGAAAAGAGAGATGTCTCTATTTTGTACATTGCCCCTGTGGGGCAAACACTTACGTTTTGGAAGGCATTGAGGTGAAATGTTAAGGGTGCGGGTTGGAGACCGGAGCACTTCTGGCCATATGGCTATCCGTGGCCACCAATGACCCTCTGCGCCATGTGTCTGTGCTTGTAGTCTCAGCATTGTGGTAGCAGGCCATCGCTTGCAGTGCAACTTCAGGATTCGGAAGGGGATTGTACCTGTGTGTGGTTAACAAAGAACTGAGTACTGTGCCAATATAAGATGCTCAATCATTGGCTCCATCCTACCCCCCCCCCCCAAAAAAAAAGACAACTTTAAGCACATTAACTATATAATCTCTCTATTTAAAATTGAATACATTGGAAGAAGGTATTATATTTGGCTATCAGAGCCCTTCTATGAATTCACCAGCAAGAGTTCCATAAGCTGATTATATATATATATATATATATATATATATATATATATATATATATATATATCACTATTTGTAGTGATGAGAATAGAGTGGTTGTATAACCATAAACAAGGTAGGCTGCTTCAATTTTTTCCCTTTCTGGATAATAATTTTTAGTTGGAAAAAGACTTTTCTACGTACTCCAGTTTCTTTATACTTTCAGGGGAAATCTAAGATGCTCAATTGTAAAGTATTGGTAGTTTTCAGTTGTTTATTTCCTAAAGGGGTTGCTATTTTTCACTAAGTTAAAATTTTATTCAAGGAAACCTCCTGCTGACATGCTTCTTCATATAGCTCCGGGGATCCCAGGTATCATGAGTTGGTGGAGCCACAGGACTGGGGCTGAACACGGCCAAGTGTTCCTCTGGTATTCTCATGCATAGATGTGGGGTCTTTTCCTGTCTGACTGTAATCATTTAATGGTTGCTGTATTTGACGTGGGTGAGTTCAGTAGCTGTAATAACGTTCTGTATCTGCGGTGTAGTATATGCTCTCCTATGCCTTTCACCAGCTTTGATGTCCCTCCTGCCCCATCCCTTTGCCTCTGAGATGACATTTGGAATACATCAACCTGTATATATCCAGAGTTTAGAGGGTTCTGAGAATGTCAGCTATCTGGGGGATGTGTCAAATGGCAATAACAACATTTGTTGTCCTTGGTTCTCTCGACTACCAACACGTTGCCTTTAATACCAGACTTTCTAGCATTTCAGAAAGGTCTTGATCGTCGACTCCCTCCTTCCCTAAACCTACAATACACCATTTTCTGAGTTCGACTGCCATATCCTGTAGAGTATAGGCATTCTCCATGGAGTTTCTAACAGTTCTCTCTCTCTCTCTAGAACTAAATAAAAACCGAAGAAAGCTTTTCGAACCGCCAAATGCACGCACCTCTTTCCTGGAAGGCGGAGCCAGCGGGCGGCTGCCCCGTCAGTACCACTCGGACATTGCGAGCGTCAGTGGCCGCTGGTAGCAGTGCTCCCGGCACCCGCCAGCTTTCATCGCCGTGGAGACGGGAGATCTGTGAGCGGCCATCGCTGCACCGTCCTCAGCACTCTGGTGACTGGTTTCAGGACCAAAGCATAGTATTCACACCTGAATTTTGTGCCAAAAAGGAAGAAAAAAGAGAGAAGATGTTCTTACATCATCATTCGGAATACCACATGCGGATTACTTTTTTAAAAACCGGTAATTGTACAGAATTTGCAATATGAGGGTAGGGCTTTTATTTCCTGTTTTTATTTACCTATATAACATATGCACTGATTTATTTTTATTATTTTTTACTTAAAAAAATGAAGGATGATTTGACATCTGGGATGCCAGAAAACATTGAAGTTATTGCTTGCTTTGGTGTTTGGGGGATTTTTAAAAAAATAATAATCTAAGTGGAATTTTCTGGTACTGCTCTAAAATAAGTATTGAGGTCTCTCAGCACTTTACACTTTCTAATTTCTTGTCCTGTGGAAATTATCTCTCTCTTTTTTATGTCACCTGATGAAATGGTACAAATCAGAGTTAGTCACGTTTTTCTGACTGTTAAATTTTTATTTGAAACGGTACTGGATTATTAGTTTTGTGCAGAGTATCCTGTGACCTTGGGAAATGGAAGTGACTCCGCTTGGTTCTGGACCAGTTCTGTTCATGTAAGTCAGCATCCTAGAAGCAATGGGCGGTGAACCTAGTTCACTGCGACAGGTGCAAAGAAAGACCAAATGGACTTTGCAATATTAACCCTTTGCAGTTATCGTATTTTAGCTGCTGCCTATATTGCTAAGATGATTTTAATGGTTGTCTAAAGGCAAAGGACTATTTTTAGTATACTGCCACTAAAGGATACTTATTTATATCAAACTTTTTATTTTTAGATATTATAAGCATACAGTACATAATTGATGAAATTGATATCTACTAGAGATTTATGGTAGAGAATGGACGGCATTCAATAACTGGAGCCCTAGATTGTCACTTTATTTAAAAAAAAAAAAAAGACAAATAATCATCTGACAAGACAGCACTGTTGCCATTAGGAAGTGAGGTAGATTACTGTTCTTACCATGTACACATTAGCTGTGCTCCATGTGGTCAAAGGACTTTCCTTAAGCCACATGTGTCTGCTTAAAGTAGACGTAGTATGTTGAGAACAGAAAGGCTTTATTTAAGTCTCCAGTGACCGTTTGTAAAGACAGTGGAGTTCCAAAAGAGGGGCAAAAATGACTGTTTTCTAAGTGGCCAGACTCATTGTTACAATCATATACTGTGAAAGTCCAAGAAATCGGGCAATGTTGTTTCCTGGGTCTTTTCAGACATCCTATTGTGGGTTTATGAAGCATTTTCAATTCGTGAAGAAAATCACTAAGTGCCTCCCTTTCTTCAAAGCAATATTATTTCCAAGTGTATTAACTTGTTGGAAAACTTTCCCATAGGAAATGTTGTGAATTACCTGTACTGTAATGACTTATGTTCATTATTAAAGATTTCCTACATGGACATAAACCACTATTGCATGCTGTTAAGCAGAAGGCATTAGATAAAACATACACAACAATTGGGGACTTTTGTACAAATGCAGAATCGCCAATACTTACTTGCCTGGCATTTTTCCATGCCTGAGTCTTACCATGAAAGAGTAAGAATTGAAGAGAAATTTTGCACACAGAAATATTTTCACTTTAAAAAAAAACTTGTATTGGTTACTTTAAAGGCATAGATGATGGTCCTGTCATAAAGTTATCAATGATCGCAGCTCGAAGGGGATGCCCATTCCTAAACTAAGTTGCTCCCTTGGCAAGTACAGGTCCCATGGACCTCCCTGTCTTATTGGCTGTACATGCACATCGTGCTACACATTCAGCACACCAATTCCAGGTTTGTTTTCTGTCCAACAACTCAGTGCTCTAAATTTTATCATTTCTTTAATGAGACTCTCCCAAATACAAAGCATGTGGACTCTTTGCCCAGCCCTCCACGATGCATTTGCAGCACGAGGAGGACGGGATGGATGTGCAGAATGAAGCTGATGGAGGTTTCATGAACAGTGCTTTACGCCAAAGGGAAAACTGTCCCAGTCAAACTAGGTTAAATAGGGTGGTTAAAAATAAATTAAAAAAAACACTGGAAATTACTTATCTCACTTTCTCTTATGCAAGGAAGGGAATACAACACTACAGTACACCGCGCTGTCAGTGTTATATGATGCACAAACTGTTTGGATTATTTGAATAAATGGTAGTTTTTAATCAATCTGTGCCTTAATAGTGACCAATTATCTGTAAATATAGAACAAATACAGATTGTATTTTTTTTGTGTGGGTTTTTGTCCTTTTAGTGATTTTTTTTTAAAAGAGATGGAATTAAACATTGCAAATGGGAATTTTCTAATCAATTGTTATATGGAAAATAAATTTATATAATCCCTTTGTATTGCCCTTGCTAGATGAAATGCCTTTTTTTAAAAAAAAAAATATCTTTACACAAATTCTGTGCCTCTCTTTGTTTTCTAAGACTCTTTTGGGGGGTTTTACGTGGCTGTGTTCAGCATAATTGAAAGATGTGTCTGCAGAATTGAATATGTTCTCTTTGTCCTGTTGTTCTGTGTTGACAGTTCTCATTTCACCCAGAAGCTGAGGCACTTTATTTTAGCCAGTGAATCCAGGACCAGTAATCAGTCACTATTTCTGTGGCCACCCATAGGGACATACAGCAAGAGTAATATTATAGAAGAGGTTTTATTCTTGTCCTTTCTTTGATAGAGGCTCAGCTGCATGACCACTCTGACAGCCTCATTCATCAGCAAGGAGCTCCTGACTGAAGGGACGCCACTGACCCAAACTGCCACGTCAGAGACTGACCGTTGTGCGGCCATTCTGCATGCTCTCTGTGCTTTGCCCCGAGATTCTGTCTGAGCTCATTCTCAAACAGAATCGATATAGTATTACTAACTCTGAGATAAGAAAACCTCACCACCTCTTATGCACCCAGAAATATTTCCACTTGAATTACCTGGGGTAATGGTTTTTAAAAATTGTTTCTAGCACAGAAGTACTTTTTAGTAACTGAACTCTTACATGGAAATTCAATATTAAGTCATCACCCATCTATTCCTTCCTTCATTTACTCATTTGGGCTTAGTAAGTACCAGGACCTGTTCTAGGAACAACAGTGAATGAAATACAAACCCTTGCCCTCGCTAAGCTTATATTCAAAATGGAGAAAGTGGGGCTGATGAAGAGGGGTTGGAGGAGAGACTGCCCCACCCTTCAACACAGTCTCCATGTGTGCACAGCATTCTGAGGAAACTCCAGTGGGTTTTTTGTTTTGTTTGTTTTTTTTTTTTTTTTTTTTTTTTACAAAATTCTTCACCTCACAGCAACAGGCCTGTGCTTTCAAATGCAAAATCTTCCCAGTCATCCTCTTTATACGTTTCATAGGTTTAATCACAGTCTCAAAAAGAGTGTGTGGCCAAAAGGATTATGACTCCCAGTTTTATAATTATGCTCTGCATGACCCATCGCTTCTTAGATTTGACTTAAAGTGACTTTGCAGTATTTAGAAGTCATTTGAGTTTTCTACCACAGAGGATATTCCGAGAATGCAATAATATAGTCATGTCACCAAGATGGTGGCATAGGTTATTCCTGACTCTGTTCCCCCTCACAAGGACAACTAACAACTATCACGGACAAAACACCACTGAGAGAATCAATCCTAGAACATGGGAATGAGGCTGAAGTAAACTCCTCCTCCACAGAAAAGGCAGCTGCAGTAGAAAGGTAAGAGGAATCCCAGAATGCTGACTACATTGCCTCTCCCCCCAGGCCAGTACTGCACCATGAGAGAGGGCTCCCCTGAGCTGACAGCTCCTCCAGTGGGAAAAGAGCCCAGATGACATCCAAACCTCCAGCATTGTGGTCGCTTTATGGAAGCCACATACAGTGGTTTGACTCTTGGGGATCACTGGGGGATCTGACTGCCTAAAATGGGGGTGGGCCTTCCAAAAGCTAGCATTTGGATCTTGGCAGACAGATGTCCTTTCTACAGAGACCGAGCACTAACGAGTGGCTTTGCTATCTGCAGAACCAAGTCGGTGGTGCAGTCTCACCTAGGAAACCAGTGGCATGCAGGTCTGCTTGATTTGGGAATGCTGTTAAAGTTATTTAAATAGAGAGAAATTTCCTGGAAACAAATGAACACACAGCAACCCCAAATTCTGGTACACAGCAAAAGCAGTCCTGAGAGGGAAGCTCATAGCATATAGACAGACATACCTCAAAAATAAGAAAAATTAATAATAAACTATTTAACCCTACAACTTAATAATAAACTATTTAACCCTACAACTTAAAGAATTAGCAATAGAACAACTGGAAAAGCCCAGAGTAAAAAGATGGAAGGAAATAATAAAGATAGAGCAGAAATAAATGACACAGATACTAAAAAAATCAATACAAATGATCAATGAAACCAAGAGCTGGTTCTTTGAAAAGATAAGATTGATGAACCTTTAGCAGGACTCATCAAGAAACAGAGAGAACCCAAAAAAATAAAACCGGAAACAAAAGCAGTGAAGCAACAACTGACACCACAGAAATACAAAGTATTTTAAGAAGATATTCTGAGCAACTATATGACAACAAGCTGAACAATGTAGATGAAATGGAAAAATTCCTATAAGAACACAAGCTTCCAAAACTTAATCAGGAAGAAACCAGAAAACCCAAATAGGCCAATAACAACTGAGCAAATAGATGCAGTAATATTTATAATAATAATAAAACTCGCAGCAAGCAAAAGCCCTGGTCCACATGGCTTCACAGGGGAGTTTTACCAAACCTTCAAAGAACAAATAAAACTTCTTCCTTAAACTATTCCAAAAAATTCTAGAGACAGGAACACGTCTAAGTTCTTTATGAGACCAACATTATCCTAATTCCAAAACCAGATAAAGGCACTACAAAGAAAGAATTACAGGCC